CATATGAGGAAGCATTGGAGGCTTCAGCCATCTGTTGGCACCGCTGAGTGAGCGGTGGGTGTTAAATCCCCCCCCCCCCCCCCCCCCCCCCCCCCCCCCCCCCCCCCCCCCGTTCTAAAGAGGTAGAGGGAGAATCATCTGAAACGAACAATGGTTGAATCGACTCGACCGGGAAGGGGTAAATGGCAAGATCATATATCTCGCACCCTTGTGCCCAGCTTAGCGGCGCCCCCGTCAAAGTTGAGTCTTTGAGATACGGCGAGGCTTTCCCCCCCCCGACCTACGTAGTTCTATAAACAGCTTGTCAGTGAGATCCTGTGTACAACTTTAAACTCGTGTTTATAAAAAATATATATATCTTTTGCACGATCCAATTCCCTGGTAGAGGGTGCAGACGTGCAAGACTTCTGGTCTGGCAACGCTTCCACTAAACGAAGTCTTGAGCTTCGCTTACCCCAGCGGCTTCATCTACACAAACACACACGCTATGTTCCTTAGTCATCCCGCCCTGGGGAAAAAAAAAATAAGTTTTAATTTAATATAATTTAAATATCTTGAATATATTTAGCAACGCTGCATTTCTTTTTTAGTTTTCATAAAGAGAATATATATTTTTTTCTTCTGTTTTATTATTTTTGGGCTCTCTTCCCCCCCTCCTCTCTTCCTCGTCCTTTGACTGCTGCCCACCCTTCTCCGTCTGGGTTTACTGGAAAAATGTATTGGTTTATTTTTTTGGCGGTTTAACTGGCCCATTTCTTCCCGATCTTCAAGCGCCTCTGAGAGTTGTGTACGGAACGGTGCACGCAATGCATTCTCTCTTCCCCCCCCTCTCTCTCCCCTCCGCGGCTCTCTCCACTCGCAATCGATTCAAGAAATCCGCAACGTCCTGTAATTATATGGCGCGAGACGTAAAATGATAACGTTGAGGAGGAAAAAAAAAAACCTGTACATTGGAATCCGAACAGTTGTTGCGTTCAGTTTTTTGGTACATGCTTTGTATGTTTAGTATTAGTGGATGGGGTTCACCCTCCAAACCCGTGGGGTGCCCAGCGGTTTGCCTGCCGAATAATAAAGACGTTACGGTCAATAAGGACGCACGGCACGAGTGGTGTTTTGCGATGGCCTCTTGGGGAAGGGTACAGCGGTGGGGGGGTGGGTGGATGATTCCATCAAAACCTACGGTGAAACGACCGCGTCTTTTGTGTATGTTGAACTTTCGCGCCACCGGTTCGTAGCCAACCGCGCTAATCAGGGGTGCGCGCGCATGGGTGGGGGGACGGGGGAGACAAACTAAATACAAAAAGAAAGTTTTTAAAGAAATGAGTTTTCATTCGAGATTATTTAAAAGGCGTAGCTGCCAAGTGGCTGCCTAATATCGGAAGGAAGAGCATTCCAGACGGCTGCAGAAACGCGCCCGAAAGCGCGCGATGCTTTTGGGGGTGGTGGGGGGGGGGATCCCCCTCCCTCCCTCCCTTCCCCTCCTCTGACTTCTTCTCCATCGCATGCCAATTATGACTACGCCATGGCTATCGTGTGCAAAAACTTGTTACGTGCCGTGGAAATATGACGACGACGGCGATCTCAACGACTCGGAAGCGCGAGAGGAAACTAAACGATGATCCAGCCCCAGCTGTTGCCCCAAGCTCTGCGGTCCTCAACGTTTTACATATGGAACAGGTGCAGTCCACATTTTTTTTCTGTAGATGGACTCCTCTACTTCCAAACATTCAACCTACGAACTTCCAGAGATACTAACAAACCTGGTCCTTGTGACCAGTTGCCTGTTCGGACCGAGGGTCGGTCCGAACAGGCAACTACATCTGCCGAACGTGAAGAACCAGTGACATCTACACCTGCAGAACGTGAAGAGCCAGTGGCATCTACATCTACAGGAGATTATACAACTTTTAAAGCCATTCCCCGTGTTTAGTGTACACGCCGTACAACATGTTTGTAATCGACGGGGAGTAAAGTTGGATTTACGAACAAATCGACTTACGAACAGACCTGGAACCTAACTCGTTCGTAAGTAGAGTCCCTGTACCACCTCCCTTGCCCACGGGAAGGGAATGTCAACATTTGCACGGCTATCCACCAACCCTCGCTTTTCTTCCTCCTCTGGCAGTGCTGCATTAGGTTCTGCGTAATAAAACATAAAACAAAATACATTCAAACGGACGAATGTAATTTACACAAACGTGTGAATGGTACAATACCAAGTGACACTGTTGTCTTGTCAGCCAACGGAGTCGTCTGGATTGAAGCAGTATGCCAGCAAGGATTCTCCTGTACAATAATTGAATTAACAAAAATATATCTCGGAGACATTTCTCATTAGTTAATTTGCTTTTTATTCCACATACACGACGGTGATCCATTATTTGTGCAATTATCATTTAACGCCTTAACTCAAAACACTTGACGCGTCAAACAGTCTATACTGGTGGGCACGGTTTCTTACTGGACATCGGATTCCTCTCCATTCTCAAGAAAGATTATTGTCAACACGTTAAAGTATTGCGCCAATATATTTTTGGTTCTTGCAGTAAAGTCACGTAGAAGGGAAACAATAAAATAATAAAAATATTTTAAAAAATTCTTGCCGTGGTTTTCGCACCTCATGATGATTGCTTGTGTTGAAGTCGAAACGTCGTGAGAATTTTATTGTTTTATATTTTTATTAATTTATTGTTTCCCTTCTACGTGACTTTACCGAAAGAACCAAGAATATGAATCCCTGCAGCCACGAAAGCTTTAAATCAAAAGATTGCGCCAATACTTTCAAGGGCCCCATGTCGAGATTACGAACCAATGTCCACAATCGAACAGACAGACGGGCGAAGTAGTTTTTAACATTTTTAAAACGAGCTATTGAGCGCGCGATTTCGCGTTGACGCAGAAGCTGGAATCCCGGTCAGTGGGGGGGGGGGGGGGGGGGGGGGATTGAGGAGGTGGGCATTATTACACCTATTCACGACACATTTGAGACCCGAATAGCACTCGGTTTAAATGCCCATGTCCTTTGGCCGGGTTGCTGGGGAGGTCACAATCGCTAAGCTCTGACCTCTGAATGCCATCGGATTAAACGGCTCGCAATTTGAAGTAAATCTAGGAGTCGTGGTGAGATCGTACTGCTCAATCGCTGGGATGCCGCGGTGGTGAGATGTTAACTACCTTGCCTGGTATACAGGTCGTGGGTTCAAACCTCGACCCCGACGCCTGTTGTATATTTGGAGTTTGGGGGTCTCCCCGTGGTGGTCGCGTGGATTCGACATCACGCGTTTAGAATTATTTGGCCTTCGAGAAATTTCCACGCGATAAGCCCACTTTGTTACGATATCGTTTGTGGCCAGGTTGCTCCTGAAAAAAAAAGATCAATATAGCTCAGTGAGCCTTGCCTGGTAAAATAAATCACAGTTTAAAATAACAAAAAAAAGTTGCATCTTTTTGTAAGAGGCTTTTCAAACTATGGCAGCGTGTCGTCGTTCCAAGAACTTCAGCTGGGGTTTGCGATTAAAGTCGATTGCATTCAATAATTAATTATTATTCACGTAATTAATTTCAGTAATTACGTTGTTACAATCGACTTCGCCAATGGTCTTGACCTGACCGTAAGATTTCACGTAGAAAGAAAATAAATTAAATAATAGAGTACGACGTTTCGATTGCAACACGACCAACCGTCATCAGGTAGAACGAAATTTGAGAGAGAGACAAAACACAGACACGGAGACACACAGACACAAGCAAAGAGAGACAACACAGAGACACAGAGAGAGAGACAACAGACACGCAGACAGACAAGCAGAGACAGAGAGATACAACATAGACACACAGACAGACACAGGCAGAGAGAGAGACAACACAGAGACGCACAGAGAAAGATACAACAGACAACATAGACACAAGCAGAGAGAGAGACACACCATAGACAGAGGTGGCTGTGTGTATGCGATGTATGTGTGTCTCTGTGTTGTCTCTCTCTGCTTGTGTCTGTGTGTCTCCGTGTCTGAGTTTGGTCTCTCAAATTTAGTTCTACCTGATGACGATTGCTTGTGTTGCAATCGAAACGTCGCGTACTCTATTATTCAATCTATTTCATTTCTACGTGACTTTACTGAAAGAAGCAAAGAGTAATTCCTGCAGTCACGAAAGCTTCAAATCAAGATCGTAAGATTTCACTTAAACTTCATAAACGCCCAATGTCATAACTCTATTCAACCGAACTTAAGCCATTTATCTCGGATGTCATAAGTTCGGGTTGCTCCCTCTTCCGCAGCCCACACCCAGACAAATTGTCTCGGTCATCCCCACGTCTGTGAAGCACGCCGCAATCTTACTGGAATGAGGTTAAAAACGATTCCATCGGATCTCGGAACAAATGGGATTCCCGCCACCTGAACGCAGACGGGAATCGTGCGTGCGTGCGTGCGTATGTGGAGCATCTTCACTGTGCCGTACGTACGCCAGCCGTGCTCATCGGAGGTACGGGGGGGGGGGGGGGGGCGGGGGGGGCAAAGGACAAACTGAAGACAAATCAGTAGGACGCGACAGAAATGAGTTTTTTCAACTCCCCCCGAACTCGCTCCCGACGCAAGCCTGGACAGGTTGGGCGACCTCCTCGCTAGTCGATCTGATAGTCCGAATAATTCATCGCTGTACCACACGCCGTCGCGTGTGCAACACCTCTCCGTGGTGGGTGGGTGGGGTGGTGGGTGGGTGGGTGGGGTGGTGGGTGGGTGGGTGGGGTGGTGGGTGGGTGGGTGGCTGTTTGGGGGGGTGGTGGGCGGGCGCGGTGGTGGTGGGTGGGTGGTTGCGGTGGGTGGGTGTTTGGGGGGGTGGTGGGTGGGTGGTTGCGGGGGTGGTGGGTGGTAGGTGGGGTGGTGGGTGGGGTGGTGATGGGTTGGTTGGGTGGGGCGGGGGTGGGGCGGGGGTGGGGAGGGCCCGCCCCCTTCCCCTTCCCCGCCCCCTTCCCCGCCCCCTTGCGTGACAGCGCCTCCTCAGGAGCTGCCCTGGTTGTAGCACAGCAGCGTGAAGTCGAGCTTGCGGTCCCAGTGGCGCAGCGCGAGCAGCAGCTGGCGCGCGGACGCCCGCAGCGCCGCTCCCGTGACCCCCGCGACCCCCGTGACCCCCGCGACCCCCGCGACCCCCGCGACCCCACCACCGCCGCCGCGCTCCTCCAGCCAGCGCTGCGCTTTGCCCGCCGCCAGCTCCCACTCGTGGAGGTGGCCGGCGCAGTGGCCCTCCAGCCAGGCCAGCGCCACCGCCGTGGCCCACGCGCGGCCGGCGTCGTCCCCGTCGCCGGCCACGCCGCCCTCGTCGCAGCGCCACGGCGGCGAGGCGGTCCCTTTTTTGTCATCGTCGGCGTCGCTACTGTCGTCGTCGTCGTGGTTACCGTCGTCGTGGTTACCGTCGTCGTCGTCGTGGTTACCGTCGTCGTCGTCGTCGTCATCGTAGTCATCGTCGTTATCATCGTCGGCGTAGATGTTACCAACGTCGTATTCGCCGCCGTCGTCGTCGTCGTCGCCAGCGCAGCGCTCCACATCGCTGAACGTTTCACCGCGATCCTCGCCAGCCGGGCCTCGGGCGTCCCGCGACACGCCCCAGTCAGCGCCGCCCCTCTTCCTCCCGGACGCGCCTCCGGCTTCGCTCGCCGACGTCTCGTCGCCAGAGCCGCCCGCCGCCGTCACCGCCGTCCCGTAGACGGCACCCTCGGCAACCCGGACCTCGGCTTGCCGCGACGCTTTCACCGCGGCCTTGGGCTCGGCCCCGGGAGGGGCGGCGCTCTCCCGTCGGCACCGGTCGCGCGGCCGCCGCGACCCCGGGCCTCGCGGATCGCCGACCGGATCGGCGGCGGCGTCGTCGGCGTCGTCGGCGGCGGCGGGCGGCGAAGCCGAGCCGCGCGACTCCCTGGCGTCGGACGCGGCCCGCGAGAACGCGCTGGCGACCTGCTCCATCAGCTGGCGGTGGCGGGCGCCGGCGGGCTCGCTCGCCGGCTTGAATCCGGACAGCGCCGGCACGGACGGGTTCTGGTGAAAAGAGAGGGGGCCCCCCCCCCACCCACACGCCCCAATGGGGGCGGGCAATTCAAGCCGTGCGTCGCTCGCGTGCCGAAAGGCGTGAAGCCAATTTGTGGTCGCGATCTTTTGCTGCCTCGACCCCTGGACGTGCGCGTGCAGGGGTCAGCCTACGTCCATCGGTTTTTCTTTTTCAGCTGCCGTGCCGATGACGTACAGCGCGCCCGTACGTCGTCGGAACGCAAGCTGTAAGAAACATCTGCATGAAGTAACTTTATCGGAAGCGAGGCTCCCAAGAGGCCGTGCGGGGAGGGCGCGCGGCGCTGTTTTGGCGCCGGCTATCGCAGAGCGGCGGCGGTCGTGTGGCCGCGGTTCTCGGCGGTGAGCAGCGACGTCTTTAAAGACAACGGCGTGACCGCTCCTACTGCGCCTCGCTGAGTAAAGTGAACGTCGAGCCGCTCGAGCGGTCCGAGATTCAGATACCTCGGAACGCGAACGCGGCAACTGTTTGATGTTTATTTACTGTGTATTTTAATATCTTTTTACATATATATTTAACACAAACATGAAAATGTCATTTAGGCTGTCACGCGCTCAACCAGCGAAAACCTCGTTAACCTTCATGCTGGAATTGTTGGGGCTTCTCATAATTGCCGCTATCAACACGATCACAGCAATGCACAACTGCTGGATGAAGGGCTCGCCACGCCGTGTCGGCTACGGGCGTTGTCTGACCGCAACTCACACCGGAGGTGTCCAGGACCACTAACTCCTACGGTTTAAACTTTTTTTTTTTATACTTTGATACTGGGAAAAAGGTATCCCATTTTGTAGCTGTTCACCCCGAGCTATGAATGCTCTGATACGTGTGGCATTGTCCTTGCACTGGTCGCCTTTTGGAGTTCTCTGGTCTGACACTGCTGAGACTGGGCTCTAAAGAAGGTTGTCTCTGGTGTAGGCCAATCAGTTTCGAAGCCACGTTTGTTTGCATTTTCACCACAAGCACCGTGTGATTAATGCAGCCTTGATCCCTTGTAGCCATGTGGATGTAGCTGTGTGGATGTAGCTGTGTGGTTGTAGCTGTGTGGTTGTAGCTGTGTATCTGTAGCTGTGTGGTTGTAGCTGTGTAGCTGTAGCTGTGTGGTTGTAGCTGTGTAGCTGTAGCTGTGTGGATGTAGCTGTGTAGCTGTAGCTGTGTAGCTGTAGCTGTGTGGTTGTAGCTGTGTAGCTGTAGCTGTGTGGATGTAGCTGTGTGGTTGTAGCTGTGTGGTTGTAGCTGTGTATCTGTAGCTGTGTAGCTGTAGCTGTGTGGATGTAGCTGTGTAGCTGTAGCTGTGTGGCTGTAGCTGTGTGGCTGTAGCTGTGTGGTTGTAGCTGTGTGGTTGTAGCTGTGTGGTTGTAGCTGTGTAGCTGTAGCTGTGTGGTTGTAGCTGTGTAGCTGTAGCTGTGTGGTTGTAGCTGTGTGGCTGTAGCTGTGTGGTTGTAGCTGTGTAGCTGTAGCTGTGGTTCTAGCTGTGTAGCTGTAGCTGTGTGGTTGTAGCTGTGTGGTTGTAACTGTGTAGCTGTAGCTGTGTGGCTGTAGCTGTGTGGTTGTAGCTGTGTGGCTGTAGCTGTGTAGCTGTAGCTGTGTGGATGTAGCTGTGTGGTTGTAGCTGTGTGGTTGTAGCTGTGTATCTGTAGCTGTGTAGCTGTAGCTGTGTGGATGTAGCTGTGTAGCTGTGTGGCTGTAGCTGTGTGGCTGTAGCTGTGTGGTTGTAGCTGTGTAGCTGTAGCTGTGTAGCTGCAGCTGTGTGACTGTAGCTGTGTAGCTGTAGCTGTGTAGCTGTAGATGTGTGGATGTAGCTGTGTGGCTGTAGCTGTGGTTGTAGCTGTAGCTGTGTGGTTGTAGCTGTGTGGATGTAGCTGTGTGGATGTAGCTGTGTGGCTGTAGCTGTGTGGTTGTAGCTGTGTAGCTGTAGCTGTGTAGCTGTAGCTGTGTGTCTGTAGCTGTGTAGCTGTAGCTGTGTGGTTGTAGCTGTGTAGCTGTAGCTGTGTGGTTGTAGCTGTTTGGTTGTAGCTGTGTAGCTGTAGCTGTGTGGGTGTAGCCGTAGCTGTGTAGCTGTAGCTGTGTAGCTGTAGCTGTGTAGCTGTAGCTGTGTGGTTGTAGCTGTGTAGCTGTAGCTGTGTGGATGTAGCTGTGTAGCTGTAGCTGTGTAGCTGTAGCTGTGTGGTTGTAGCTGTGTAGCTGTAGCTGTGTGGATGTAGCTGTGTAGCTGTAGCTGTGTGGTTGTAGCTGTGTAGCTGTGTAGCTGTAGCTGTGTGGTTGTAGCTGTGTAGCTGTGGTTCTAGCTGTGTAGCTGTAGCTGTGTGGTTGTAGCTGTGTAGCTGTAGCTGTGTGGTTGTAGCTGTGTAGCTGTAGCTGTGTAGCTGTAGCTGTGTGGTTGTAGCTGTGTAGCTGTAGCTGTGTAGCTGTAGCTGTGTAGCTGTGTGGCTGTAGCTGTGTGGTTGTAGCTGTGTAGCTGTAGCTGTGTGGTTGAAGCTGTGTAGCTGTGTGGATGTAGCTGTGTGGATGTAGCTGTGTAGCTGTAGCTGTGGTGCTAGCTGTGTAGCTGTAGCTGTGTGGTTGTAGCTGTGTAGCTGTAGCTGTGTGGATGTAGCTGTGTAGCTCTAGCTCTGTGGTTGTAGCTGTGTAGCTGTAGCTGTGTATCTGTAGCTGTGTGGTTGTAGCTGTGTAGCTGTAGTTGTGTGGTTGTAGCTGTGTAGCTGTAGCTGTTTGGTTGTAGCAGTGTGGCTGTAGCTGTGTGGTTGTAGCTGTGTAGCTGTAGCTGTGTAGCTGTGTGGTTGTAGCTGTAGCTATGGAGCTGTAGCTGTGTAGCTGTGTGGTTGTAGCTGTGTAGCTGTAGCTGTGTAGCTGTAGCTGTGTAGCTGTGTGGCTGTAGCTGTGTGGATGTAGCTGTGTGGATGTAGCTGTGTAGCTGTAGCTGTGTGGTTGTAGCTGTGTAGCTGTGTGGATGTAGCTGTGTAGCTGTGTAGCTGTAGCTGTGTGGTTGTAGCTGTGTAGCTGTGTGGATGTAGCTGTGTAGCTGTAGCTGTGTGGTTGTAGCTGTGTAGCTGTAGCTGTGTAGCTGTAGCTGTGTGGTTGTAGCTGTGTAGCTGTAGCTGTGGTTCTAGCTGTGTAGCTGTAGCTGTGTAGCTGTAGCTGTGTGGTTGTAGCTGTAGCTGTGTGGTTGTAGCTGTGTAGCTGTAGCTGTGTGGTTGTAGCTGTGTAGCTGTGTAGCTGTAGCTCTGTAGCTGTGTGGCTGTAGCTGTGTGGTTGTAGCTGTGTAGCTGTAGCTGTGTGGTTATAGCTGTGTAGCTGTGTGGATGTAGCTGTGTGGATGTAGCTGTGTAGCTGTAGCTGTGTAGCTGTAAATGTGGTGCTAGCTGTGTAGCTGTAGCTGTGTGGTTGTAGCTGTGTAGCTGTAGTTGCGTGGTTGTAGCTGTGTAGCTGTAGCTGTGTGGTTGTAGCTGTGTGGCTGTAGCTGTGTGGTTGTAGCTGTGTAGCTGTAGCTGTGTAGCTGTGTGGTTGTAGCTGTGTAGCTGTAGCTATGGAGCTGTAGCTGTGTGGTTGTAGCTGTGTAGCTGTAGCTGTGTAGCTGTAGCTGTGTGGTTGTAGCTGTGTGTCTAGCTGTGTGGTTGTAGCTGTATAGCTGTAGCTGTGTAGCTGTAGCTGTGTGGTTGCAGCTGTGTAGCTGCAGCTGTGTGGCTGTAGCAGTGTGGCTGTAGCTGTGTGGTCGTAGCTGTGTAGCTGTAGCTGTGTAACTGTAGCTGTGTAGCTGTAGCTGTGTAGCTGTGTAGCTGTAGCTGTGTGGTTGTAGCTGTGTAGCTGTAGCTGTGTGGCTGTAGCTGTGTAGCTGTGTGGTTGTAGCTGTGTAGCTGTAGCTGTGTGGTTGTAGCTGTGTAGCTGCAGCTGTGTGGCTGTAGCAGTGTGGCTGTAGCTGTGTGGCTGCAGCTGTAGCTGTGTAGCTGTGTGTGTCTGCGTGCGGGCACCGGGTGGGAGAGACGGGCGAGCTGCCGGAGCGACGCGAAGGGCGAGGAGCGGGCGAGCTGCTCCAGGCCGACGCCAGTGGCCTCGGCGAACTCCGGCGACAGCGAGAAGGAGCCCTCGGCCTCCTGCAGGTCCAGCTGTGAGACGCACGCGCATTCACAAAGACAAAGATCCCCCTCCCCCCGTATAGCCTCAACAGAGCGTGGGGGCAAGTGCCGATGAAGTGCGGCACTGTGGCACACGACAGCGCGGGTGGTCAATCGCCGCGCCCGGGCGCCTGTGTCTACCTCACTCACTCACCCGCACCTCCCATCAGCACGGTTGGCTATGTACGGTGCGAAAGAAGTTCCACATACGTGCATCCACCCACTCACTCATTCACGCCACCCACACACGCACCCACCCATTCAGCCACCCACTCACTCATTTCCTCATCCACTCACCCATTCAGTCACCCGCTCACTCATTTCCTCATGCACTCATCCATTCGCTCATTCCGCCACTCACTCACCCACCCATTCAGTCACCCGCTCACTCAGTCACGCCACCCACTCAACCACTCACCCATTCAGTCACCCGCTCACTCATTCACGTCACCCACTCACCCACTCACCCATTCAGTCACCCGCTCACTCATTCACGTCACCCACTCACCCATTCAGTCACCCGCTCACTCATTTCCTCATGCACTCATCCATTCGCTCATTCCGCCACTCACTCACCCACTCATTCAGTCACCCATTCACTCCGTCACCCACTCACCCCCACTCACCCATGAATTCGCCAAGTCCTGTAACTCACCCACCCACACACCGTGGGGGGTGGGGGGGGGGGTCGTCGCGATTCGCCGTGGGGGCGCAGCGTCGCGCGAGTGCACGACGGGAACGGCGGCGGCGGCGAGGCACTCACCAGGGCGGCGTAGGCCGGGGTGCCGAGGTCGTCCTCGGCCCGCGGCGCCGGCGCCTTGCCGGCGCCCTTCCACAGGTTGGGGCACGACGCCTTCTGAAGCGCCTGGCTGCACCGGCGCGCCAGCCTGCGACGACGCAGCGCACCGCACACACGCACACACGCAAGGTAACGCTCGCGTGCGTGTGCGTGCGTGTGTCCCGCTCACGGCCAACACCGGTGACGGTTATCTGAACAGGTCCCGGGCCTCCCCTAGGTCGACTCAGCCTCAAATGAGTACCTGGTGCGGCGTGTAAACATCGCCACTGGGGAGACAAAGGCGGTCGGGCGTGGTGCTGGCCACCCACCCCCTCGTGTCCCGTGCCAGCCTTCATAGGTGCTCGCTAGCAGCACTTGCCCCTACAGTCTGTTAAGGCTATACGGGGGATCTTTGTCTTTTTGTGTGACGCTGTGTGCGTGTGACGCTGTATGTGTGCGTGCGTGACGCTGCGTGCGTGTGTGACGCTGCGTGTGTGATGCTGCACGCGTGTGTGACGCTGCGTGTGTGACGCTGCGTGCGTGTGTGACGCTGCGTGCGTGCGTGACGCTGCGTGCCTGTGTGACGCTGTGTGTGTGTGACGCTGCGTGCGTGACGCTGCGTGTGTGACGCTGCATGCGTGTGTGACGCTGCATGCGTGTGTGACGCTGCGTGTGTGACGCTGCGTGTGTGTGACGCTGCGTGAGTGACGCTGCGTGCGTGCGTGACGCTGCGTGCGTGTGTGACGCTGCGTGTGTGACGCTGCGTGTGTGATGCTGCGTGTGTGACGCGTGTGTGACGCTGCGCGCGTGACGCTGCGTGCGTGTGTGACGCTGCGAGTGTGACGCTGCGTGTGTGTGTGACGCTGCGTGAGTGACGCTGCGTGCGTGTGTGACGCTGCGTGCGTGACGCGTGCGTGTGTGACGCTGCGAGTGTGACGCTGCGTGTGTGTGTGACGCTGCGTGAGTGACGCTGCGTGCGTGCGTGACGCTGCGTGCGTGAGGCTGCGTGTGTGACGCTGCGTGTGTGACGCTGCGTGCGTGACGCTGCGTGCGTGAGGCTGCGTGTGTGACGCTGCGTGCGTGTGTGACGCTGCGTGTGTGACGCTGCGTGTGTGACGCTGCGTGCGTGTGTGACGCTGCGTGTGTGACGTGGTTTTGCTGCTACCTGGAGGCGAGGAGGCCGTCGAGGGAGCTCTGCGACGGAGTGGAGGGGAACACCGGCTGCTGCACTGCGTCTGTGATCGAGAGAGGTCAAGGAAGGGTCACAGAGGGGTCACGGAGGGGTCACTGCACTCTCGCTCTCTCCATTCCACGTAGGAGGATCGCCCGCCTGGCTTTTTGCTTTGCCTGGCTGGCTGCCTCGCTGTGCGTGATCTGGCGTGACCCCGGCTTGACCCCGGCGTGACCCCACGTGACCCCACGTGACCGAGCGTGACCGGGGGTGTCATGCCCCCATGTGACCCGACGTGACCGGGCGTGACCGGGCGTGACCCCGCGTGACCCCACGTGACCGAGCGTGACCGGGGGTGTGATGCCCCCAATGTGACCCGACGTGACCCCGGCTCGACCCCGGCGTGACCTCCGACGTGTGAGCTACTCACCGTCGTCGTGGCTCTCGGTGGCGGCCCTGACGTGGGCGGGGAAGCTGAGCGGGGCGCCGGAGCCGGCGTCGACGCTGGCGAGGCGAGCGTGGCGGCACGGCACGCCGCTCGCTCGGCTGGCACGCACCGCCAGCGCCAGCCAGCGCCGGCTACGAGCTGCCGGCGGGGAAGGGGGGAGGGGAGTTAACGGGCACAGGGAGACGGAGAGAGATGGGGGGGGGCGACGACCATGGGATGGGATGCATTGAGGGAGGGAGGAGGAGGAGGGAGGGAGGGAGGGAAGGAGGGAAGGAGAGAGGGAGGGAGGGAGGGAGAGAGGGAGGGAGCTAGGGAGGGAGAGGGAGGGAGGGAGCTAGGGAGGGAGAGAGGGAGGGAGGGAAGGAGGGAGAGAGGGAGGGAGCTAGGGAGGGAGAGGGAGGGAGGGAGGAAGGGAGGGAGGGAGCGAGGGAGGGACGGAAGGAGGACGGAAAGAGGAGTTGGGGGAGGAAGGGATGGGGGAGGGAGGGGGCGAGGGAGCGAGGAAGGGAGGGAGGGAGCAGAACCAAGGCTGCCGAGAGAATTCACTGGCAGAGGGTCCGTGTGGCCCATGGGGCTTGTGGCGGTGCGGCGAGGGTTGGTGGATCGCTCAAACATCGCGACGATCCGTGCCCGTGCGGCGGCGAGGGAGCAGACGCCGTAACCGCCGCGCAGCCAGGAGAGTGCGGGCCAAGGTCGCCCGTCGCTTCTGCGCGGGATAGAGCGTTTCCCCCTCGCACGCACGCACGAGTGGGTGTTCTCCACGTCCTCCGGTGTATAAACATTGGCTGAACACATCTTAATATGGAGAGGACTGCAGAGATCGGGCAATTGTGGGTAACGCCGGTTCAGCGTATTGCAGCGTTCCAGCTTCCGCGGTGTTGTGAGATGCAATTTTCACGACGCTACATTAAACTAAACAGCGTTATTATGTAACATGTAACCAGCCTGGTCAATACAAATTCAGGTGAGCGGTGGTGCAGTGGTTAGCGCAAGACAAAGATCCCCCGTGTAGCCTTTACCAGACTGTTGGGGCAAGTGCTGTTAGCGAGCGGCACCTATGAAGGCCAGCAAGGCGCACGAAGTGGTGGGTGGCCAGCACCACGCCCGGCCGCCTTTGTCTCCCCAGTGACGATGTTTTTCAAACACCGCACCAGGCACTCCTCATACGAGTAGGTATATACGTATTCGGTTGTGTTTTGTTCGCTGTGTGCTGAGTGGTTGTGGCTGTGTGGTTGGCTGCATGTTGTTGTTGAACTTCTTTAGCACCGTACGTAGCCAACCGTGCTAATTGGAGGTGCGGGGGAAGGACAACAATCCACGCGACCACGAGGAGAGAGAGACGCGCAAAACTCCAAATATACAGCAGGCATCAGGGAAGGGGCCGAACCCGTGACCTCCCGCATACCAGGCGAGGTAGTTAACATCTCCTAGCCACGTGGAGAGAGACGCGCAAAACTTCCAAACATCCAACAGCAGGCGTTCAGGGTCGGGATGGAACCCACAATCTCCTGCATACCAGGCGAGGTAGTTAACATCTCCTAGCCACCGTGATGATGATGAAGGAGAGAGACGCAAAACTTCCAAATATACAACAGCAGGCGTTCAGGGTCGGGATGGAACCCACGATCTCCTGCATACCAGGCGAGGTAGTTAACATCTCCTAGCCACCGTGATGATGATGAAGGAGAGAGACGCAAAACTTCCAAATATACAGCAGCAGGCGTTCAGGGTCGGGATCGAACCCGCGACCTTCCGAGCCCTACTGGCTGTTGTCATCGTTGGTGGTGGCACGTGAGAGCGGGGCGGGAGGCAGGGGAGGAGGTGGAACTCGGCTTCGTGACCCACCGCTGTCGCACGCCTCCCGCTCGGCCTTCCTCTCCAGCTCGCGGGCGAGGGCCCTCGCCGCCACGAGGTGGATCTGGCCCCCGGATTCTGCGTCGGCGTCGACGGCGCCGGCGGGCGACCCCTCCTCCATGAGCGCCCGCACGTCGAACCGCACCCGCCACTCCACGGGCCGCCCGTCGAACACGGCCCGGACCACGGCGAGGCCGGACCCCGGATCTGGCTCCTCGGCGCTCCCCGCAAACCCCGGGGCCTGCGGGCGGGGCGAGCGCTCGGTGGGGAGTCCGTGGGGGCGCGGGTCCGCGTCGTCGCGCGGCCGGTGGTCCGCGCCGGGTTTTGCGTCGCGGTGGTCACGGTGGTCCGTTCCGGACGTCTGGCGCTCCGGTCCGCATTTTTGTTGTTGTTTCGCCCCCCGCCGCTTCGGTTCTGCGGACGGCGAGAAGAGAATTCACGACGGAATTGGAGCAGAATCATCATCATCATCACCATCACCGTCGTCATCATGATTGTGATCATCACCATTGCCACCATCGTCACAATTGTCACCTTCATCTACGTCATCATCACAATTGTCACCATTGTCACCATTCTCATCACCATCATCACCGTCATCATCATGATTGTGATCATCACCATTGCCACCATCGTCACAATTGTCACCTTCATCTACGTCATCATCACCATCGCCACCATTGTCACCATTACCATCACTGTCATCATCGTCATCATCACCATTTTGATCCTCACCATCGTCACCATCGTCACCATTATCATCACCATCATCATCATCGTGA